TCTAAAGAATTAAGACCCTTTTGATGCGCACCGTGAATTAATTGGCTTCTTTGGGAGGGCTGGATTTTCACGCTAGACACAAGACCCCTTTTGTGATGTACCCTCTCATATAGTAATAATATAATACAATAATATAAGAACGATTTCACTTAAGTGTTTATAACATGCAAATGAGTTTTTCGCATTGAGCTTTTGCGCATTTTTGGCATAAAGGCGTTATACCCAGGGGCGGATCCAGGATTTTCCTCAGGGAGGGGTGCGGGCTTCTCAGGAGGGGGTGCACCCTACCAAAATCATTACCATGAAGATACAAATTAAGGAAAGTATTGAAAGAAATAGATCTCAGGAGAAGATGCGCACCCCCCGGCACCCACCAGCTGAATCCGCCACTGAGACTTTTCAACAGATTGCAGGCAACAACTCATCTCAGGTGGCATGCCATCACTTCACATGCCACTGACTTTGACAAGTCTTAAAGAGGGTGTCAATGTGGTTAATAGCTAACTGACTTTTGGCTGAAAAAGTACTAGTTAACTAGTTAGTTTTTTGGTAAATTTACAAAAGCTTTATTGGAGATTTTTCAAAATTTTGCCTTGTAGGAATTTTTTCGGCCCTTCGTGTCGTGCAGGAAGAGATTTTGAGATAGTAGTACTAGACTAATCATTCTATTCTGTATTTCTATTGGAGCTCCGCTATTGTTCCATGTTGACGTCATGGTTTAATGAATCAGCCAATGAGAAAGCAGTATTCACACTTCAAGCTGATACCTACTTCCTTGTTCGGAAGGAAAGGTCGACACACAGTCTGTTTTGGTTGAGTTTGAGATTTCAAACTAAGCCACTCTTCAACTTTCAGCTCAAGTTAGAGATCCTTATTTGAGGATATCAATCATTTAATTCAATTGGTTCACATCCACTCTTATAGTCATTGATTCTGAATGAACGATAAGGTAAGAAATAACATCGATTCCTCGCTTGCAATCACGTGATAATTCTGGCCAAATGACTTCGTCTCGAATTTCAAATTACCTTAGTTTTTATGAATCGTACAGAAATATATAGCATCCATGCCCTTTTAGAAAATTCAGTTAGGTATTTGGTATATCTATGAAGTTTAGATTTCGCAGAGTCTGTAGTTACTTAATTATTTGCGATTGAATATGCGTGATATTTTGTAAACAATATGTATGCAGATGATGTTTCAAGGGTCTTAGAAACAAGGAAAATCGAACACTTTCGATTTATAAATTGAAAAGAGTGTTTGGCATTACATATAATGGGTTAATGGATCAGCCAGTGGGAAACCAACTTCACAAAGCTAGCGAGATATRCAGCTTCTGGTTATGGGACGAAATGTTGACACTTTGTTGTGATTGAGTTTGAGGCTTCAAAAGAAGCGGTTTTCTAATTTCAGCTCAACAAACGAATCTCTTTTTAGGACATCAAGCATTTCAAGGCATTTAGTAATCTAAGTCTAATTGGACCAAGCCTAGTACTCTAATGGTCGCTGACTGACTGAACGGTAAGAAATAACATATCGGATAAACTACATACACAAAACTAGAGATTGATAAAGTTTACCATATATCAATTACTAGCATCAAATACGTACTATTGTTTCTGTACACTGAATGCCACAAAAAAATCTGGGAAGGGAGCTGACATTGATACCGACAGTACTGAGGAAGTAACGATTGAAGACTTTCTTTAATGACATTAAAGCTAAAAATGTAGTTCAGTATAGTAAAGACGCCTTCCTGTAGCTTTTCAAAGTACAAGCATAGAAGAACCACCGTCGCATAAATATGACAAACAATTTTAATTTTATTATTAAAAAKCATAAATTAAGGTGTTTCGATCGTAATAAATAGCGCTTCGCGCGTATTTTTAAACTCCAACTACGTCGCAAATTTCGATTATATTGCACTCAAATTTTCACAGAAGTAACAGTGATTATCGATAATTCTTGTCGATAAATTAATTTGCCAAAAAGCGAAGCCATTTGGATAAACGATGCAAAATAAAAACACCTTCATTTTTCTTCAAAATTAATTTTCTCGAAACTCATCGCAGAGATTGTAATAAAATTTTCAGAATCACTGTTTAATAACATAATTGATATACTGACGAAGTTTCAATGAAATCTTAACCTAAACTTTTGAGTTGTTTGAGCAAAATGATGTACATTCGAACAAATCGAAATTTTAGGTTAAGATTTCATTGAAACTTCGTCAGTATATCAATTATGTTATTAAAAAGTGATTCTGAAAATTTCATTACAATCTCTGCGATGAGTTTCGAGAAAATTAATTTTGAAGAAAAATGAAGGTGTTTTTATTTTGCATCGTTTATCCAAATGGCTTCGCTTTTTGGCAAATTAATTAATTTATCGACAAGAATTATCGATAATCACTGTTACTTCTGTGAAAATTTGAGTGCAATGTAATCGAMATTTGCGACGTAGTTGGAGTTTAAAAATACGCGCGAAACGCGATTTATTACGATCGAAACACCTTAATGCTGTATCCAGCATACGGTTTCTTCACACCTTTTTTYATTGTGTACGTTTTGTGTAAGATATACAGCACTATCCTGTCACCTGTGAGTCTAATGCAGCGACTAGTGAGTCGACAATGCTTCAATTCTATATGATTTTCTTTTTAACTGGAAGAAGTGAACGTCTCGTAAACAAATTATAAAGATATCAACAGTAATAGTTAATATTGAGTTTTGGATAGTTTTGTTTGACGGATTTTCAGTGTCATTTACTGTGCCACGATGCCCACAATAAACAGAGTTAGTAGAGGAGACTGTCTCCTCTACTAACTCTGCAATAAATTTACACACCTTTTAAAAAAATTCCACTCTTGTATAAGTGCACATTTTTTCAAAGTTGAAATCTTTTTCTACAATTAAACAGTATAGTTGAATTATTATAAATTGAAACAAAAAGTATGGTCAATTTTAGAGATTGATCTTATGTTGACGTCATGGGTTAACGAATCGGCCAATGGGAAAGCAGTATAAACAATGCAAGATACGCAGTAACAGTCGTCACACAGTCTACTTWTATTTCCGACCTTGTGCTTTTGGTAGTCATTTGAAAGAGCGGCTTTTCACGATTGAGTTCGACGCTTCAAAATTAATTCATTAACAAGGGCTGTTCTTCAAATTTCAGGTCAACAAAGAAATCCCTATTGAACATCAAGCATTTGGTAAACTCTCTAGAATTCAATTCACAATTGGACGTCTGAACGGTTAGAAATAACTCATAGATCAACTAGAGATTGGTAAAGTTTGCCATATCCATTACTAGCATCAAAAACTTATTATCAATTCTGTAAATCATGAATTTCCCCTCGATTAACTGAGTAAATTGAGAGTCAACATTAATGTATGGAGCTTGAAAATACTAGCTGTGACTCATGATGCTAAATACTTCTAATTTCTGCTTTTAATTCATAGCTTGTTACCCTGGTTCCAGAGGTAACACCATAACATTCAMTTCCAGTCAAAAAACATCACTAAACACTTGCACTTCAACTTTTAACATTTTAGAAATCTAASCCGCTATGGATTTGAAGATTCTACGACTTTTTATCACTTTTTGTGTGTCGTATGCACTCCAGCGGTTTGCTTATGATGAAGAAACGAAACAATTCTCGCAATCAAAAAGAGAAGAACTGATCTCTTTATTAGAGGAATGTTCGGTGATAGCTCTTTTACTGTTTGATGCCCAGACGCTTCTCTACATTTATGATACACTTGGTGAGTTATATCGTCGCGTACATCAACCAGCCAAGGCCATCCATTCTTACAAAAATATGCTAACCCTCATTTCTGGCACTGGAAATCCCAATGTTCTAGAGATAAATATCAACCAAAATTTAGGAAATATCTATCAATCAATGGGGCAATATCGCAAATCAAYCGAATATCACGAAAAGAGCCTAAGTATTGCTCAAGARATTGGTAACAGACAAGGAGAAGGAATTGCCTATAGTAATTTAGGGAATGCCTATATATCATTAGGAGAATATCATAAAGCGATCGAATATCTTGAAAAGTGCCTAATGATTGATAAAGAGATTGGAGACAGACAAGGAGAAGGAGCTACTTATGGAAATTTAGGAATGGCTTATCGATCATTAGGGGAATATCAAAAGGCGATTGAATATTATGAAAAGATACTCAACATTGCAAAAGAGATTGGTGACAGACGTGGAGAAGGTTCTACTTATGGAAATTTAGGAAATGCCCATCATTTATTAGGACAATATCACAAGGCGATTGAGTATCTTGAAAAGGCACTGAGCATTTGTAAAGAGATTGGTGACAGACAAGCAGAAGGCGCTGCTTATGCAAACATAGGGAATTCCTTTTATTTGTTAGGAAAATACCACAAGGCGATTGAATATAACGAAAAGAGACTGAGCATAGCTAAGGAGATTAGTGACAGACAAGGAGAATGCGATGCTTATGGAAATTTAGGGAATGCCCATCATTTATTAGGAGAATATCACAAGGCGATTGAGTATCTTGAAAAGAGACTGAGTATAACTAAAGCGATGGATGACAAACGAGGAGAAGCCAATGCTTATGGGAACTTAGGAAATGCCTATCAATCATTTGGACAATATCACAAGGCGATTGAGTATCTTGAAAAGAGACTGAGCATTGTTAAAGGGATTGGTGACAGACGAGGCGAAGGAGATACTTATGGAAATTTAGGAAACGTCTGTAACTCATTAGGAGAATTTCAAAGTGCGATTGAATATCAGGAAAAGAGACTGAGCATTGCTAAAGCGATAGATGACAAACTAGGAAAATCAAAGGCTTATGGTGGTTTGGGGAATGCCTATCAATCATTAGGAGAATATCACAAAGCGATTGAGTATCATGAAAAGAGACTTGGTATTGCTAAAGAGATTGGTGACAGAAAAGGAGAAGGAGCTACTTATGGAAATTTAGGAAATGCCTATCAATCATTAGGAGAATATCACAAAGCGACTGAATATCATAAGAAGAGACTGAGCATTGTTAAAGGGATTGGTGACAGACGAGGCGAAGGAGATACTTATGGAAATATAGGGGTTGCCTATCAGTCAATAGGAGAATATCACAATGCCATTGAGTACCATGAAAAAAACCTAAGCATTGCTAAAGCGATTAATAGCAAACAAGGAGAAGCGAATGCTTATGGAAATTTAGGGATTGCCTATCAGTCATTAGGAGAATATCACAAGGCGATTGAGTATCTTGAAAAGAGCCTGAGTACTACTAAAGCGATAGATGACAAACGAGGAATGGCACATGCTTATGGAAATTTAGGAAATGCCTATCAATCTTTAGGACAATATCACAAGGCGATAGAGTATCATGAAAAAATGCTGARTATTGTTAAAGCTATTGATGACAAACATGGAGAGGGAGGTACTTATGGAAGTTTAGGGAATGCCTATCAATCATTAGGACAATATCACAAAGCGATTGAGTATCATGAAAGGAAACTGAGTATAGCCAAGACAATAGGTGATAAACGAGGAAGAGGAGCTACTTATGGAAATTTAGGGAATGCCTATGATTTATTAGGACAATATCACAAGGCGATTGAATACCATGAAAAGAGTCTGAGCATTGCTAAAGCGATTGCTGACAGAGAGGGAGAAGCATCGACTTATCATAATATAGGTGCGTAATAAGCTCGAAATGTATTCGTAGAATATATTGATACATTATTATAAATTATTAATGCAATATTATCACTATCCATGACAGGTACATTACATATACATTATTAGCCTGCGTAGCGGCCCTAAAGAGATTGGTGAGGGCCGAGTGGAGAATGGGGAGGAAAAAAAGGAAGGGCCTGCAAGAGAACATCACAGTTTAAAAAAAWTTACAGTAGAAAAAGAACGTAAATTCCCTATTGGTCGAGAGGAAGAAACTGTCAATCAAATGTCAAAGTGATAGATACCAGATCAAGCTGGCGTATTTACCAACATGGMAGGCGACGAAGAAGGATGAAGAGGGATTTCGTAATCAGTTAGAGCTTGTTTTAAGTGATTTAAAAGAAATGGTTTCGATATAATACTCARAGAAGAACTGAGAYAAGATTTCTCCTCCCCATTCTCCRCTCGGCCCTCCCCAATCCCTTTAGGGCCGCTACGCAGGCTRATACATTAYGTATATCTGTATTGTGATCTTTGTAAAAAAGAGTATTTAGCTGTGGACTTGGTTGAAAATAATAATGATATATATAATCATAATATTTATAATAATTTATCAATTTTCGGACTTTACGATGAAAACAATCATTCTTGTATAATCTAATATTACATACTAAAACTAATCTAAATCTTAAGGTATTGTGTATCAGAAAGAAAGCAGAATTAAAGACCTCGGCAAGTCAAAAGAATACCTAGAAAACGGCATACAATGCTAYGAGAAATTGTTTGATGATTTAAAAGACAAAGACCAATTCAAGGTTTTCATTGTTGATACATTCATCTCAGCCTACAAGCTGCTCAGCCAAGTCCACATTAAAACTGGAAAGGTGGAAGAAGCGCTCATGGTATGTGAACGTGGGCGAGCACGTGCTTTGAGAGAYCTCTTATTCCTTAAATACAACACTACTGAGAAAGCAGAATCAAAAGCACTGGAACTTTCAGATGTAAAAACAATTTCTTTGCATTGTGAAGGCTGCATTCTTTTTTACAATCTTCATGATAACAAGGTAACATATGATTGCTGGATCATATCATCCCAAAGTCCATCAACCTTCTATTATAATGAATTGGACAACATCGAAGCTTTAGCAACAATTGTGTTGAATCTGTCTGAAGATGATAAAACAAACATGAAGACGGGATATTTTCAATATCTCGTTGACAACAGTTTTCGCCAGCTGCGTCTTAGAGAAGAAATGAAATGCGATGACCAATCGATGAACTTACTAGACCATGAAAACGAGGAGCCTGGAGCCGCTACAAAGTCTTCAAAACGTAGCGAAACTGCCCTCACAGTTTTTCGACAGGTTGACAGATGGTGCGCTTCCATGGACGATGAAGATGATATCGAGCCTCTCGACGTACTCTCCCGTAGACTTCTCTCTCCAGTGATTAACCAGCTGACGCACGACGAGGTGATCATCATTCCTGACGGTCCCCTATTCATGGTGCCATTTGCTGCTCTTCGAGACCCAGTAACAGGCACCTATTTGTCGGAAACGAAGCGCATTCGACTGGCTCCTTCTCTGACGACGCTGAAAATTCTACAAGAATCCTCAGACAAAAATTATGCTAAGGTGGGTTTTCTTTACACGTTTTAGCATTGAATATGTACATTAATAGTATTAATCAATTCCAATGTTGATACTTCTATAATTAGAATCCTCATAAAACTGGTTTCATCCATGCTCATTGATTAAGTACCGTGCAACTATGGAGTTTGAACGTGGATCAGGAGTTTCGGAGAACAATGCGTCCCCCATCTTGAAAATTGAGACCCGAATCACTAGGTTGTGCCCTAAAACACATTTCGTAGTTGCTAAGTCAACTAATCTAACTTTATATCGTATTGTATTAAATTGACATTAACTTAGAACCTTTTTAAAATTCCTTTACGAGTTATAATTTAGTGATTCGAGTCCCGCACTATAGCATTATATCCATCATGCGCAGATTCTATCAAATCAATCACGGTAAAAATATGTTCCACGGCAAATTCTATATAATTTGCGTTAGCTGAACACGGTGTGTTCAGCTAAGTGGTTCTTGTTATTATTATTCTTTTTTTTTGGTATCATTATCTTGAAGTTCATGGGTGGATTCCCAGGATACCAAAACCCCCCAAAATATCAGTTATAATGATCGTTGATTTAAGTCTCTTTCATTCAAGTCAGGGGCGCTGATCATTGGAAACCCTACAGGTGATTTACCTGGTGCAGAGAAAGAAGCTGTCGAGATTGGTGAACTGCTCGGTGTTCAGCCATTGATAGGAAAACAAGCAACAAAAGAAGTAATTTTGGATGAGCTAAAGCAAAGTGTGTCCGTGATTCACTTTGCTGCACATGGCAGAGATAAAAGTGGCCAGATCTTACTGGCTCCTTCTAATCCTCCGACGAATTCATGTCCAGAACAAGAGAAGAACAGCATATTGACCATGAAGGAAGCACAGGAGAGCGGAATTCGTGCTCAACTGGTTGTGCTGAGCTGYTGTCAYAGCGGTAAAGGTGACATCAGGTCTGAGGGAGTGGTTGGGATGGCTCGAGCCTTTCTTGCTGCAGGAGCTCGTGCCGTTGTAGCGTCACTTTGGGCCATTGACGACACAGCCACAGAGTDCTTCATGACGAAATTCTATTCTCATCTCAAGAATGGAGAGAGTGCAAGTAAGAGTCTGCAGCAAGCAATGAAGGAGATGAGAGAAATAGAGGAATACAAGGAACCAAAATACTGGGCKGCCTTCTTTCTAATTGGAGATGATGTAACCATCACAGGTTAATCGAACATCAAAGACTGGATTATTGATAGAACATTTTTAGAACATTAATTAGGTTAGTTTTCGACTTTTCATAAAGATAAATGAATGTACCTGACTGATAAAGTGGAAATACTAAAAACATGACAGAGTATTTACCAAATAGTGCTAAATAGCGCAATACATTGTATAATGGACAAACGAATTTGGCAGAATTCAATGGGATTTAGCACTATTTCATTAACAGTTAGAGCAAAAATCACTTAACATTACCCATGATGTAGTCAATATAATTATAATATGTTGACGGTCAAAMTTTTTGCAAATGACTGTATGAAAAAAAGGCAAAATTTCCAAATTACTTAAGATACTTAACAAGTATGGTAAGTGGAGTTCGGGTAGCGCAATCTATAGTTAAGTGAATAGCATAAATCAAGGCTGAGTGCACCCCCACTTRMTGTATGATGACTTGCCTGCTTTTGTGTAAATYATTGCGTAACAGTAGAAATGGGCGCGAAGCCAACGTGTGCATGAGCTAGCAAGCAATATGGAGCTACTAGTGTTAGTTTAGCTTTGCTGAAATATCTTATTTCGTCATATTATCCTCCTACGTTTTTGAAAGTGCAAATATTGTGAAATTCAATTCGACCAACGGAAAATCGAAGACTGTGGTCCCGGGACTCTAGTTGGAATCGAAAGATTCTTTGATTTGATTGGCTCAGGAGTTGCTCAAAACTTCCCATACATCATATCATACACTGGATTCTGGGTTTCCGGCGCATCGTCTCCATCCAGAGACTTCGATTTTCCGTTGGGAATCTGAGAAAGATCTGGGTACGAGAATGATTTTAACAGTGTTAATATTGGATGTCAATGTTGTTGTACATGTGACATGATTTTATTATCAATACATATGAACATGATGAACATATTATCTTTGCTGACTCAGTAGAAAGAGCTAACTCAATGAATGTTTATAATGTACAAGGCTCCTGATGCTCCTTAAAACAYTTGAAAGCCCGAAAATTAGAAAACGTGTTTCCAAGAGCTTTTGAAAAGGCTTTGAAAATAAGAAGTACTCAAAAATCCTGGAATGCACAGTCGTGAATCTTATGCAATAAATACATGATGTTATTTTTTAACTTGAAGAATTTTAGAACAGGACACGCAAGGAAACGTTTTAAGAATAATACTATGATAATACTTGCAAAACAATTTTGTATGCTTAAAAAGTACTCCTATAAGCCAGTGTCTTAACATTGGTAARATGTAGGCCCTATCCAAGACTTGAGGGTTGACACAAACCCAGGTGGTTTTCCCAGGTGCGTAGCGTCGTTTACGCATATACGCAAGTGCGTACTAGTGCCAAGGAAATATTAAAATTGTCGGGATTTGATGCTTTTTGTATGCTAAAAAATGTAATTCATATAAATGAATGGGATCGCTTAGATTTTGAGATCACGGATCAAATTTGAATAAACTTTTCAGATCAGGGATTAAAATTTTGGCCAAAACTAACAGATCACGAGTAAAAAAATATCCCATGTCGTTACCCTGCTATACTAGATAGTATATTGTGTTACATTTTGAACATCGACCTGTCTACAATCTTACAGCTTTYGCATAATCACTATCTATCAATTAAACTAAGCATGAACTAAGAGTACTTAAAACATTCACGGGAGAGCTCAGGCCGGCATCATTCTAGGCAATCAGGCGAATAGTGTTGCAGAGAAATATTGAGCAAGCCTTAATTCTGCTTACATACGAGAAACCTAWACGAGCCAGTCGGTACAATATGACAACGCTTGACGAGAAATCACGCAGTTTAGCGTGGATAGATTGGTTGATCATCGCTGCATACTTTGTATTATGCCTTGGTGTTGGATTGTTTGTGAGTATAGGTTTGAATAACAGAAAATAAGGCTTGAAAGAATTTTTATTAATCGACTTTCATCTATGGTRTGATCATGATTCCAAAGATTTTCCACGCCAAAAACTTTGAGGCGATCAGTGTTATAAACCGATTTTAATAGGAAAAATAGTAGCTTATTAATCTTAATCAACTTCCTTGCTGTTATAAGTAGCCTGGATATAACATCGTTTTTAAGTCCTGCTGCTCTCTCTGTTCTAATCAACATAGCTATAGCAACTTTTGAGAGAGCCAAGACCCAGCCTTTATTATCAACTTTGAGATTCCATGATTTCGAATGCGTGGAACATAAAAGGACCCATCATTGATCATGCATAACTCTAGTCTCACTGGCAGCCGTTATCAGTGTCACGTTACTTCGTAGAAAAGTACATTGAACACCATGACACTGATAAGAGCTGCAAGGGAGACATCATGAAAAAGGTCCTGGTCTGGTCKTCRGGCTTGGTAAAGAGTTCCCAAATAAGAAAAAAAYCCTGCAAGCTCTTGTGCAATGTTTGAGGTTTTTCYTTTCAGTCAAAATTTAGAAAGCAAAGARGAGAAGCTGAAACAGCAGAGGGATATTTTCTTGCTGGCAGAAAAATGCTCTTTTGGGCGGTGAGTACATTKCCTGATGATATATCAAAATATGCAGCCACAATTGAACTTTATACCTCCATATAGGATTACCAAACGCTGTCAATAAAAGGAAAGTCCTTGTTTCACGCTTGATGGGTTACTGACCTTTGTAAAAATTACTCCTATAGGTGTATATCAAGGACAATTTCGTCTTGTGAAGTGTCGCGCACAATGTAACTAGACGCTCTTGGAGCGTGAAGTCGGACTAGCTATTTTTGAAAATGGAGAAAGACACTTGAGGATATTACATGGATGCGCGCGTATAGGAGAACGAGTGAATGAAAGGTTTTAAACACGATAAGATTATGATGTTTTATYCTGTMTWATCATATGATTATATATGAATGTAAATTATGGCGTAGAATATATTTATTTTTACTTCTTATACATAGTGAAAGCAAGAATGCGTTACTTTCACTTTAATTAATGTACTGTTCAAAACCGTTTATTCACACGATACGATATTCTTTTTGACTGTTCTTAATTTTATTCCAAAATAGCCGAAATTAAGGTCTAATAAGAGYGTCTAATTCTTAAATAAATTTGACCTAAAAGGTCATGTAATTAACAAAGAATCCTTGCTTTGACTSATAAAATGAAACGTGGTAGACAAAAYGTCGCTAAGTGATATCATGATATCTAATACGTTGACCTCTCAGRCCAAGAAAATAGATACTTTACAAAATAAAAGATACCTATAAARTAATCAAAGTCGCCTTTTTGTCATTGATAAACAAAGTTTCTTCTTGTTCTAATTTGAAATCTTTGCCCACAAGACTGYCTAACGCTAGAAAGGTCATTGATTCAGTTTCGAAAGCATACTACTCGAAGCTCCATGCGATCCGCACATGCGCGTACTTCTGATGGCTAGACTGATGCATTCCGATGAGATCACTGATACCAAAATTTGCAAACGAATAGTTTTTTTTATCACATAAAAGCGCAAATAGCAACTAACATTTACTAACGATATTCGTACATAAGTACATATTCGTACATATTCGTATAAGTTTGAGCTTCCGGTCATGTAATAACACAGACAACCCAATAGTTAATTATACTAAATTCTTAACTTAATTCCGGTGGTCCAAACGCGATAAAATACACAGATAGATTGGTGAAAAGGTAAAACTCAAGTCGAACTAGCCTTTTGCTAGTCCGACTAATAATACTCGAGTATCTTAAAGGTTGGACCCAGTCTTTTTGCAAGTAATATTACCAGTGGACATTTCATTGGTTTAGCGGGATCTGGTGCTGCCGACGGCATAGCTGTAGTAACATACGAATGGGAGGTAAGGATATCGAACATTCTCGAGTAGCTGTTCATGTCTTAAGTGTATCCACTTAAAAATTTTACATGCAATGCAGAGAGGTTATATAAGTTGTATTTGAGAAACATAAAACGGCGCGCGTGTCTCTGTCCTCTGATATAAACACGGTGGGAGTTCGAAAAACACGAGAGAAGCAAGCTTAGGAACACGTGTTTATATCAGAGGACAGAGACACAAGCGGCCGTTTTATATTTCTTTTATAAA